CCAATCTTTAAGCCGTTCAACATGCCTTGACTTAATCGCAATGGGTTGCATCTTAAGGTAATTCTGTAAGGGGAATAGGCTGCTATGGCCTCGCCTCCAATATTTTATTCAACCATGCCCTCCTTATAGAAACACATGAAAAAATGTCCCCAGGTGCAATGCTCTAAAAACTCCCTATTGGTTCCGCACTGCCCCTCGGGTTTGAATCCCTCTCTCCTTTATAATCGGTTAATAAATTGGTTGATTTTCTTTATTTTATTGGTTTTGGGCAGCTGAGTAACATAACAGTAATGTATATTGGTGCGTCTATATTGCATGTCTGTTGGGTCTATATTGCTTGTCTATTGCGTGCATATCTTTACATTTTTTGCGTCTGTATTGATTTGTATTGCTTACGACGGAAATAAATAACAATACACAGGCAACAGACAAGCAATATACACGCAATAGATATGAAATATACACGCAATAGACATGCAATATACATCAGTCCCCAATTACATCAACCATAAGGAAGTCGTATTGAATAGGAAATTCTACTTAAGTTGTTCTTCCTACGAAAACAAAGAATAAGGACCGTTTCCCCCCTTAAATCTAACTGGAGTCCTACTTTTGCCCCCAATAAACTTGCAATATTGGAGCAATAACATGCGATATACATGCAGTAAACACTCAATCAACTTTCAATAAACCTTCAATATCGGTTCAATAACATGTGAAATACATGCAGTTAACAATCATGAAACCTTCACGAAACATGTAAACAATCAATAAACCTTCAATAAACACTCAATATCGGAGTAATAACATGCGAAATACATGCAGTTAATGAACCTTCAATAAACAGTCAATATCATGCGATTTACATGCAGTAAACAATCAATAAACAATCTATATACACTGAATAATTATGCAATCTTAAAAAAAGGTATTGTCTTATTATTGCATCGTATTGGCCCTGTATTGTCATTTTATCGTCTTCGTCTGACTTTATTTTTGTAAAGTAACTGTAGGAAAGTTTTTACTGGGTTTCTGACAAGTAAATGCTTTTGTTTCAAACAATAATTTAAACTCAATGCTAATCCACCTATTTCAATAACAAAAATTACAAATTGAGTTTGAAAAGTCATTGGTGGTGCGTGCAACATGTGTTTTTGGGGAGAACTTTTACAATCCTTGAAACCGTGCACTTAATTGGTCATTAAAAGAACAAATAATATGACAATTGATACAACTAATAAAACTAATACCAAGTCCTTAATGGACTTCAGCATATTAAGCACTGTAGCATCATACGTGTCAGCTTGCTGATCTGCTTCAGCGGAGGTTACATCAACCCATTCGAATCCATTGCAGCTGGTGGCTCCCTAATTGCAGGCATCATATATGCAAAATAATTTTGTCAGAGTTAGACCTAGGATTTTTTTTCACCCACATACATATTCTGGAAATGAGAACTTACATAGGAGGTTAGACACTTCCAAAATGCCTTCCCGCGATTTTTATCTGATTTTGAAACCCGAAGCACCATTGCCGCTCCACAATACTGACACCTCTTTGTTTGAGCGGGAGATGAAGACGAAGACATGTTGAATCTTATCACTTGTACCTCTTCTCACTCAGATCTTCTCACTAAAACCTCTTCGGACTCATACCTTCTGAGTTATACCCCTTCACTCATAAGTCATAACCCTAAACTTCTCACTCAGCTCTCTCTCATCTCTGCCCAAATCGAATTATATCCTTCTTTTCTGTGTGTGGGTGGGTTGGTCACGATCTGGACACCTGTACCGTCAGAATTGTGACACATTTTACTCCGATAAGCGATATACTATTTCACAAACAATAATTAATCTTACAATTGAGGGGACACTGCTTTAAATATATTATTTTCTTTATATTGCATTAAGGCAACTAGTTGGATAAGAATCCGTCATTTAATAGGGGTAGTGTGGTGTGGGAAAATGAAAAAGTATCTGATGGGACCTTCTGTCACTAGTCAGTAATCCATCACATTTGTATCAATGAATTTAATGGCGGGAAAAGCCTAACAATGGCTATGGAAATAGGTTATTAATTGACTTTTGGACGGTCTGACTCCCTTTGCATTTTGATGACGTTTTCCCTTCGCCTGTCTTATGTTTTGGGTGTTGAGTTCAGTTTCTTTAAAAAGTGTCAACTTGGTAAAACCCCAAGGAAACACCTTTTCAGAACAGTGCAACCAGAGGCTAAAACAAACCCAAAACCCCGTATATTCTCATTTCTCCCCTCTTGCAGTCCTCAAATCGTTCCATTCCAAAAATATTTCAATGAATTCCAAACATTACACTACAGTCGGAGGAAAGAGAAGGAAGCATCGCGATCCGGATGTGCCTCAAGCCTTCATCCCGGAATTAGCTTGGTTTAAAGTGATGTTATACGTGGCAACCAACTCATCGGAAGATCTCTTTCGTATGGCATGTGTGTGCCGATTGTTCAATACGTTGGCAAACACTCCACAAGTGTGGAACACAATTTCAATGGAAAAGTACCGAGACCATCCTAACTGGTACTATGCCGCAGAGCAGGTCCGGCATTTCGTGGACCAATGCAGGGCTTGCCAGAACCCTGAGGCGATATTTAGAGAAGCGTTCGACATGTTTTTCAGGCAGGGTAATGTGGAAGCATTGTCTGGGATGCGCGTTGCAGCCACGGCAGGCCATATGGAAGCGTCATATCTAGTTGGACTACTTGGCATGTCCGGAATTGGTCAGTCAAAAGAGGATGCATTGGAATTCTTGTGTTCTTTGAATCAACGTAACAACATTGATATGAAAGGAACCAGGGATGCTTTGAGACGACGATTAAGCGGAATTTTCTCTGTTGGAAGACATATCGTAGATATGTTTCACTATGGGAAGATTAAGTTCAATCAGTGCAGCGCTTGTAACAACAACGACTGGTGTTTTGTTATTCCAGGCTGGCCTAGTGAAGAAAAGATCAATCCTGCCTTCTGGACTTGTTGCAATCGATGCAAATGGCACCGTGAGAGTGTTTTTTGGTTCAAGGTGATGCGTGTCTATGTTGTGCCAGGGAATCCATACCCTTATAATTAGTTGGAGTATGTTTCTACGGTTTTTATGCGTGTCTATGTTCTACACATGTTGTTTTCTATTTCATGTTTTAATCTATTTTGTCTGGTGTTTGTGCTGTCCTAGCCCGTTTTATATATAAATGTATAATATTTGCTATATAGTGGAATTATTACTGACATAATTGACGGCTAAGAATGACATTTTACTGACACAGATATTTTGCACAACTGCAATCTTAATATTTGGTAAACGAAAACGCATGCATGAAGTGAGTATGTGTCTTTTCACCGGTTCTTGGGAATGACATTTTCCCACTTAGCATATCCCAAATGATTGGGTTACACGTTTCTTAAGCAAAACTTGAACAGTTAAAGACTTTGAATAATTATTTCCTGATGTTGTAGAATGGATGGCTTGTATATTTCCATTTTATGTTTGAAAACATCCCTTACACCTAAAAAAGAAAAAACATTAACAAATTGAAGAAGAGAGAAACTGATTAGCACCAGAAATGGTCTATTCTCACGGAAAATAAAAATAAAAATAAAAATTTGGAGTAAATATAATTAACAAATGTACAAGCTAAAAGTAATATAACAATAATAATAAAAATAATTTTGGATAAATAATAATAAAATACTAATGTAGCGTAACCATGAAACAAGGAATTCAGGAGGAAGATGAAGTCTCACTACTACAAAAATTGAAATAGACGACGGGAAAACACCGTCTTCTTTTTCTTTTTTCAAACCGTCGTTAAATCGGCTGTCATCTTTTTGAATATCAAATTACAACCGTCGTCTATTATATGTAAAAACGACGATTTTTTAAAGAACCGTCGTCTATTATATGTAAAGACGACGGTTTTTTAAAAAACCGTCGTCTATTAACGCTAAAGACAACGGTTTTTTACAAAAAAAAACCGTCGTGTATTATCTGTAAAATTGACGTAGTGATTTTACATTTTTTTTTTTTTTTCATAACATTGTTTCTTTCATAAATTCAAGTCCAAATCTACCATTACCCACACCATACATGTATATAACATTGTTTCTTTCATAAAACTTGAATATTCAATAGTAATTACATAGTTTACCAATCTTGATTCCTACTATATCCATACAAAATACCATATCCATAGCATTTAACCTATACTTATAAAGAGGAAGTACATGTGGTTGCTCATAAATGTTGCCCATTCGATGCGAACTTCTGCTGGACCTTCAATGTCCACACCATGGCTGCCATTATGGTACAGCTCTACCAATCCTACATTTACATGACAATAAACAATTAATTCAGGAAAAAATACAAAAACAATAACCAGAGCAGAAGTGTTGGAGTTTTTTTTTATCTAACTAAAGCACTCAAAGCATAATAAAGAAGGAGAAGAAAGCTGAAGGGAAAAAAACACTGGAGCCATTTCTTGAACTCTCTGTTTTGTTCCTTCTCTCAATATAGGAGGAGACTATTATTCTCCTTAACTTCTCTTCCTACACAGTAGTGCAATTAAGACCTCTATAGTCTTGTTCTCTTACAAACTGAAAAAGAGCTAATCTAATTAGGATAAGAACATCAAACAGAAAGCTTTATCAGATAGAAGAGCAAGCTTATTCAAAGAGCAAACGGCTAGTCAATCCTAAATTGCATAACTAACAAAAATTCTTTATGAAAAGCTTAAACTATAAACCACCAGCGTAACAAAAGTCAGATATCAACATACACTTCACAAAAGGCAGCAAAAAAAACAAATCCTATGAAAAGGATCACATAGAATTGCAACACCTGGAAAAGGAGACTTCAACTTATTAAACAAACATAGAAATCAGATAGTAACATAATACATAAAGCCAAACGAGAGAATACCTTCTCACTGACAACACTTCCATTTACACCAGCATTCTTGGCAACTAAGAGCTCTTTTAACTATATCTTCTCCAACCTGTAAATTACCATATGAACCGCATCAACAATCGGTTTCCATGCTTCCACTTGCTCCTTAGTCCATATACCAGGAGTATCTGGGTACCTTCGCATATGAAAGAAACAAAAGAGACATCAAACATTAAATAAAGAAAGCACCCTCAAATGAAGCTTAGTTACTTAAACTAAAACATCAAAACTAGAAAGCTGCTCTTCTTCAAATTACCCTTGAGTTGTGTCAGAAACTCCAGTGGCTTCAGCTATGAGAATGTTTGTGCCTAATAAATCACGGTCATAAATTGACTGAAGGGACTTCCTCTCGGCCCTAGCACCTACTTTTTCGTTAGGCATTTCGCCTTTCTGAAAACAAAACAAAGCTACGAAGGCAGAGTCCTCTCGACCTCGCGACCGCGATTTTATGGGCCGAAGCCGAAGGCCATAAAAGACACGGCCGAAGATACTGTGGTTAAATCGCCACGTGGCCTCAGGGTCCCACGCCCCATTTAATGAAGTAATGCCTCTGACTATCGCAGCAAACCCACTAGTCGCAAGAAGCATTTAATGCATGAGGGAAAAGGGGAAGCGACTGAAGTCAGGATTTGGTGATAGAAATCAGAGTTGTTAGGCACAAACATTTTCACAAGTATTCTTACAACTTGAGGTCAGGTCACCAACCACCAGACCAGGGCATTAAATGCGTTCCCACGGCCAAGGGGGCAGAACCCACGATCAGGGCAGTGGCCGAGATTTACCAGGATTCATGGGGGTCACACCACCATGCTTCACGATCCCAAATGTCGATTCGACTACCCACTTGCCCCCATCAGGCTCCACCGCCCAGATCTTTTCAGCTTCGATTGTCCTTCCAGGACTCCCCCTATAAATACTAAGCTCAAGACTACATTCAAAGGGTTCAAACACCAAACCAAAAGCCTCCTACGGAGCAAATTATATTTTCCTGTAATGTACTTTCAATACCTTTATTTGCTTTCCTAGGAGTAGTGGTAGATTGTAAGGAAAATCCATTCATCAATATATCATACGACCCTTGATTTTCAAGGCGCCGGAGCACCATCTCTGTTGTCATCTCATTCACCCCATATATCATACGACCGTCGCTCTCTGAGCAACGCGCTGGAGCACCGCCTAAAACCCGCCACCAACACCACCACTAAACGGCCTTGTAGCTCAGGCCGTGAACTTGACGGCCGAGATCAGTTCCTCTCTCAGCCACAATCGTTTGATTAGGAGTCGAACTCAAAACAGGCGCATCATTTAACCATCTTCTACCCAAACCTCATCACCATCTCGACGCACGGTAGACCGTGTTGGCACGCCCGCGCACAACAGCTCCACATCCAAAAGAAGGATGTCACGTGTTAACGCACATCCCCTCAGCCCAGAGCACCAGGCCGTGAGATTTGCGCAGCCAACAGAGAAGACCTCCATTAGATGTTCTCTGAGAGTAATATAAGATGGCATGTGGCTGAGGAACATTTTCGTATGATCTTTGTCTAGTCAATGGTGCTAATACAACTCTACAGAAGACAACCAAAACATAAATCATAAATACAAGCATCACAAGTTTCCTAGCAAAATAGGCAGTATATATTATCAGAAGAACTACACCTACTACATGACCTGTGAATTCTCCAAAGTTGGTCATTGTTCATTAACAACTAAACAGAGGAGACAAATGCATGGTAGAAGAAGATGCTAATCCGGGATTTCGCATTGGCAAAACTACATTTGACAAACACAAAAACTGCCCAGTAAACTAAATTTGACCAAACACAAGCAGTAATTTCATTGTTCTTGCAAGCAAACTGGGACTTTAACCAACCCTGTTTCCAAATTCTACAAAACCAAATAGCCCAAACCTCAACTTAAGCAGAACAAGGCCAGGCTATAGCTTATCTGTGCACCAAAAATGACCCAACTTACAAATTTACAAAAATATACAAATACAAACCAAAATTCACAAACAAATTTACAAAAAATGAATAAATACAAACCAAAATAGCACTCATGTGATGCTTCTAGCACTTATATGAATAACATGTTGATCCAATCAGTTCATGCTAAAGTTGATGCGGTTCATGCATAATCTTAAAACCAGAGCAACTTTCCAGGCCCTGCAACTCAACAACAAAGCACTAAAGGTACAAAAAAACATATGAACTAGAATTTTTTAACAAAATAAAAGCAAAAAGGTTTAAAAAATGCAACTGCTGAACTATATACAGCTTAACTCAAGTCAGATCTAACCACAAACAAATCGTATATATGTCAATACGCACCGAAATTAAAGAACAAACAAATCGTAACCCTATATCTCAAACAAACAACCATAATAAACAAGAAAAAATAAAAATTGAAATCAAATCAGAAGAATCCTAAGCTAACCCTAGAAAAGTAGCTTCGTACCTTTCTGGTCTACGAGGAAGAAGATCTAATCTAAAGCTCGTAAAATGGAAGATGGGAATCCATTTGGGGGCTTAAAAATGGTCGCGACGAGGAAGGGAGATGGCGAATGCGACGAGCTTGGTCGACTGAACAGCACGACGGAGATAGTGATCTCGTCAAACTCGGTGTCCATGGAGATGGAGATCTGGGCTAGTTCGGTGGACAATGAGAGGGAGATGTGCTTCATCGATGTGAGAGAGAGGGTTTTGAGCGAGCGAGGGTTTTCTGAAATGGTCTGCGCTCGCGAACTTAAAATGAATTTTTGTTTAGCGCCTCCTAAAAACACGACGGTCCTAATAAGGTATCGTCGTAAGTTTAAAAATAAACCCAACACATTGGTGTATTAGGTACCTTACCACGACGGTTTTATAACATTCGTCGTCTTTTAAAATACCACGACAGTTTTTATATAAAGGGTCGTCTATTGAGTGTCGTAGTTTAACAAAATTGTAGAGTAGTGTCTCAATGAGTTTGTAGAAACAAAACAACAAACAAAACCAACAAAAAAACAAAACAAAACACAAAACAAACAAAAAAAAACAAAAAAACAAAAAAAAACAAAAACAAAAACAAAACAACAAAAAACAAAACAAAAAAAACCAACAAAAAAAAACAACAACAAAAAACAAAAAACAAAAAACAAAAAACACAACAAACAAAAAAAAACAAAAAACAAAAAAAAACAAAACAAACAACACAAAACAAACCAAAAAAAAACAAAAACAAACAAAACAACAAAAAACAAAAACAAAAAACAAAAAAAACAAAAACAACAAAAAAAACCAAAAAACAAAAAAAACAAAACAAAAACACACACAACAAAAACAAAAACACAAACACAAAACAAACAAAACACAAAAAAACAAAAAAAAAACAAAAACAAAACAACAAAAAAGAACAAAAAAAAACCAAAAAAAAAAAAAAAACAAACAATTTTCGGATCATTTTTATGATTTTTGTGTATTTAGTTATGATTTTTCTAAGAAAAAGTAATAAAATGATAATTTATGGTAAAAAGCAAGGATGTGGCCATGTTGACTGACGTACACTTGTCAAGTGGTGAAAGGTGACGGGTTGAGATCGCGGCAGGTGTCCATTTGGCAATTATTTTGGCCTTTTTAGTGCAAAAATCTTTGAAAAAAGGTAATAAATAGTAGAAAAATCCTAAAAATGCCCCGAAAAATACTGCGGCCTCCTTGTGACGTTATAAAACTAGGGAACCTATAAATCATCCATTTCGCAATGAAAAAATCCAAATTTTTTTACATAACTCACTTTCCTCTTAACCCTAAGTATATATGTTTGTTAACTTTAACTTCAATAACCTACTTCAACAAGCATCTCCCGTTAATGTTCGGAATTATTTTTTAAAATGCGTAACCCTGAATCAGGGAATTCAGCAAGGGAGATGGAGTCTCAATGAGTTCGTAGCAATTTTCGGATCATTTTTCTGATTTTTGTGTATTTAGTTATGATTTTTCTAAGAAAAAGTAATAAAATAATAATTTAGGGTAAAAATCAAGGATGTGGCCATGTTGACTGACGTACACTTGTCAAGTGGTGAAAGGTGACGGGCTGAGATCGCGCCAGGTGTCCATTTGGCAATTATTTTGGCTTTTTTAGTGCAAAAATCTTTGAAAAAAGGTAATAAATAGTAGAAAAATCCTAAAAATGCCCCGAAAAATACTGCGGCCTTGTCACAAAATAATGCCATAACCTTGTCACAAAAGCACTCACAAATGCTTTTCCATAAACCTTGCCCTAACATATAATACATAAAGGCAACATTGCATATGATGCAACCATGTCCAAATCTGATACGTGATCACAAAAAAATGGACATGGCAGCAACATATGACTAAAGTAGATGGGCACTTTGCATCTCATGTTATCGTAATTAAAGACATCAAAATATTAAGGTTGAAATCTTCTATAGTAGTAAGCATCAAAATAGGTTTGAAGCAGAGTTTAACAAAAATTCCAATTCCTCTGATTTGCCTCTACTTAAACACGAGAACCAAAATGGTTACTTCCATTGCTGAGTATATTTGTTAACGTCGGAAATGGTAATAGATGACCAATCAAACTCGGGTACGACGAGTTTTGCATAGGACCGGAAGTAGTCGAATCCAGCTTGCATCACACGCTTCTTTGACCCCATTGCATTAGATGAGTTCTTGTATTTTTGAACAACAACACTCCGAAGTCGTTTGTGTCTACGCTTCATGCGCTGCAACTTCGCCCTATCCAGATTGGCCTGCCTTTTGTCATCTTCAATTTGGCCTTCAACAAATTCCAAACGTGCCCTTGCCCTTTGGATTTCATCACCAAGTTGAAGATGCCTCTCCTTCCAAAAAGCAAGAACTCTTTCAGACTCAAAACTTCCAACAAAATGGTCATTCTGTCTAGGAATGTGACATTGCTTGTCTAGTGACTCACTTGCGTTTCGAAGGCGGTCTTTGTTTGGAGGGGTGTTTATTTTGCTCACATCAAACTTGGTTTAGTAAATCCATTCAATGAAGGGGGGTGATAGTAATACCAATAAAAAAGGGTTCCCGCCAAAAAAACTTTTGGTTGACAATGTTTAAATTAAAAAAGGTCTCATACAATCTAAGTTTAATCCTAACTAGTTTGGTTAGTTTGGTTGGGTTCACTAACTAGAAGTCCCTTCCATTGAGTTTCTTTCAACCACTAAAAGTGGTGTAAGGAGAGTGTGAGGTTGACATGCTTGAAAAGCAAAGCCTGACACCTCTTTTTTTATAATTGAAATAAAGTACATATGTTGACTACACACAAGCTTTGGTATATTGGTCTATAAAGCTATGTTCCATTTATCAAACGAAATTGCATATGCAATCCTCATCCTCTAAAACAAATAGGATTATTCAAGCATGTCAACCTCTTCAGGAGCCAACAACACAATCGAAGATGAAAAATTGGAGTCGCAGGTTCCATTTCCACGTTGTACTCGCCGACCCCTTCCATTTTCAACATCATTTGGGAGTGAGGGGGACTCCAATGATCCATTAGAGGCAATAGATGCAGTCAGTAGCAAGCTGGATTATAATTCCAAACTGATCAATTCATGGCACGAGAAATGTGTTGAAGACGAGGCCATTTTGGCTGATCTTAACATTAGAGTGAACAAAGCGTTCTCCCAAAAGAACAAGTACTTGAAGCTGAGTCATAAAAGGAAGCTGAAAGCTGAGGAGTTGGATACAGTAATGAATGATGAAATTAAAGGTTGTTTGATGAACCATATGCGATGCGAAGAGCGCCACAGTGAACTGGAGTTGGCATTCAACGAAGGATTCGAAAAATTCCGAGCATTTGCGGCAACTACTCATACAAGTTATAATTGGGACTATGTGTCCCCTGATGCTGTGAGAGAGATACTAGACGATGGTGGTGACATGAATGAGCATAAGCACGTCAAAGCTGCTAGGAAGAAGCCGACCAATACGACTAAGTGATTGCGGCTATAGCTGTTCAGTTGGTTGGGGGTGATCGTGGTATTGCACAAATTAGAAGTATATTCCCTTAATGTCATTATGTAATTTAAAATAATACAATTATCAGTTTCATTTGTTTCATATATAATTATTGGGACTATGTCTTGCAAGTCATCATGTGTTCCTTCTTTCTAACATTATATTTTGCAAATATGGAAATATTATTCAATAAGCAGTCAATGTCACAGCACGTTGGGAATCAGTAAAGCCCCATTATCATGACACGTGAGTCATAAGTAACATACCATGTGCTATACATTGTTTAGTGAATGGTTTATGGTTTATTTATATATAATAAAATTCCAAATATTGCTGAATATTTATTTTGTCTATATCACTGGGGACATGAGTGACCATAAGCACGTGAGACCTACTAAGAAGAAGTTGACCAATACGACCTAGTGATTGTGGCTACCGTTGTTCAGTTGATTGGGGAGATCGTGGTATTGCTAAGAGGGAGCACATAAAATGCTTTGCAATCAAATTTTCTTTTGTGTGTGGAATTATGAGTAGTTCAAATGTTAGTGTACCCTTTAATATTCTCCAACCATTCGAAATGTGATTAGCTGCAATGTACTTTTTTACACGCTCCTTTCTAATCTTTCTGTTCCAACAAAGTGCTTCAAGTATCCTTCAGTTACGAATGTTTGCAAAATCGTGCACCTAATAACCAGTCGAGCTCAGATCTTAATAACCAGTAAAACACTAGAACATAACATTCCGAAAAAGTGGGTGCTGCTAGAAATGATGAGTGCTGCTTTACTGGTAATGGAAACAACAGTTGGCTGCTAGAAATGCTGCATTAGCCTGTCATATAATCAATGAATCTCTATTAAAACATAATTCACCATAAACTACCCATTTTACAAGGTAAAAGTCATTGCTTCTTCACATAACTCAAAATTTGATACTTTATCTAATGTCTATGAAAATTTCTAAATAGGGAGAAGACGTAAAATTAACATGTGTCCAAATTTCATGCAAGAATGAAACCAAGCAAATTTTCATTTCAATTATCAGTGGACATAGTAAGAGCTCATCGGTGGACATGAACAAAAAAAAATTAAATAATAAAACTGCATCTAGAAAACTTCACCTGATCATTAGTCTTCATAATAACCGGGCTTCGTATAATAGAAACCTAAATCATTGAGTTGGTCCGTGCATCCTGTAAAATTCGTTGAATAATGGGTCACTAAGATCTATTGGAGTTGATTCGTCATTGTTCGACGGTGATGTCCTGCATAAACATCAAACAGAAGCACATAAAACTTTACCTATTCAAATTTTAGGTCTTATTATAAATAGTGTTAACATCTTACGGTGTGTTCAAATTTCTTGGGCATTGTTTTCTATCATGACCAATGTGTCCACACTCCCGACAGTGTCTAATCCCTCGCTTCATTGCCTTTTCCTTTGCTCCCGTTACTCGTTTCGACCCTCCATTGCACCTTACTCTCTTAGGGTCTTTCATATATTGTGTTTGAGAGCTGGTCCAACTTCGTTATTACTTGGTCCATCCTTCAACAACTTCAACTTCACACGCAAACTTCTTAGAGTCTCTGACAGTAGCTCACATCCTTCTTCACACATTAATGCATCCTCAACCACATCTGAAGCAAGTCGGGACATTGTACTCCGCTTTATTAAAAGACCAGGATCTGCAGAGTCTTTAATTTCGTTGCCATTTGCATTGGACACCAATCCAGATTTCGCAGTTTTCTTCCACCTCTTCAAAATGTATTTATCGGGCATATATTCAATCTGGTCCCTTCTGAACAATGCTAGGATGTGCTTGCAAATAATTCCAACAAATTCAAATCTTTTGCAGCTACACGATGCGTGGTCAGAACATATACGACTTCTGCCACTCTTGTTTCCCAATTTTTCCTTTTGCTCACATTAAAGACAACTTTAGAAGCATCCTCTGTTTTGAGCTCTAGGAAACATGCTGTACTTTGTATTAGTTCTTGCTCAAACTTTTGAAACATTGTCCTTGTGTACAAGGTAGCCATTTGTTTGTTCATTGGCATCGGTAGAATACATTGAGCCACTTCAAATGCATCTATGTGATCAGCAACTAACTCTTTTTGACGTTGATGAGAAAGTGCCCTCTCAAATCGTATTATGAAATCCATCAACGAATTTCTCCTTGATATGTATTGCTTGAAGAAACCATGAGAACCTTCCGCTCTTGGCTGCTTTACATTCCTGTAGCAAAAAAGTGTCGTGCGTAGGCTGGAACCCAAGATTCCCTTAAATCAAACATTGAACTTAGCCATGGATGGTCAGTCAAACCAGCCTTTGTAACCACACTATTCCATTTTGCATCAAACTCATCCTTATTGTCAGTATCCCATATGGCTTTCTGGAATTCACGCCAATACTCCTTATAAGCAGAATGTGGTAACTTAACAGAGAACTTTGATGTGATGTGCCATATGCAAAGTAGATGAAATATAGTCGGGAAGGCTATTGAAATCGCTCTGGTCATTGCCGCATCTTGATCTGTAATGATCGTTTTAGGTTCGCCACCTAGCATGGCTTTCTTAAACTCCTCAAACATCCAAATAAACGACTCAGTCGTTTCCTTGCTCAAAAATGCGCATGCTAAGACAATTGTTTGACCATGGTTATTAACTCCCAACATTGGTGCAAATGTCAAGTCGTATTGATTCGTGTTGAATGTGGTATCGAATACAACAACATCTCCATAAAATCCGTACGCCCGTCTAGAAGTTGCATATGCCCAAAAACATCGACTAAACCTGTTATCGCCATCTCCCTCAATCTTGAAATAAAAAGCCTCATTTTTTTTCTGTTCAGCCATAAAATACTCGGTCACTAGTTCAACATCGTGATTCCTCAGCTTCCCATTCACACTACATTCAAGATTGTAGATATCTTTTTGATAAAATTGATTTTATCCATTCCTCCGGACTGTACCTCGAAAATACTTACCTTCTGATTAATGGGAATATTAACCGAACCCAATTGTTTTGTGAGTACTTTTGTAGAATCTGAAATACAACGGTGTGATCTCAATAAATGCATTCTTTCTGAGGGTGTCATCTTATGATCGTGTCCCTCTGTAAAAAGAGAGATGGTATACTTCTTGCTCCCATTTGCCTTCACAACCGCAATCTTAGCTTCGCAATTGCATCTACTTATTTCCCACTGTCTTTTTCTCTCTCGAGTTTCATCTTTCCTGTATGCACCTTGTTTGCAACATACAAATTCTTTCCTCAGAATCTCTTTCTTATTTTTCCCCCAAAAGCTGGAATGAAGTCGAATACCAAAGCCAGCCAAGAATGCATATCTATTATAGAAATTATAAACAAGGTCAAGCGAGTCGAACTTCATCCCAACTGCTGGTGTTTCCTCATTTCTTACTTCAGGAATGTAAACCCTCCCATTAGCTGTTACACAGTCATCACTCTCTGAGCCCCCAGACATTTTATCCACGTATATTATTGATCTACTTCTATATTACTGCATACCAAATATTAATTCATTAATCAATCATTACTGCATCACAACATATCAATGCATCACAACATATTAATGCATTCCACAACATGTCTGACATTGCCCAAATTGACACAAAACACGCATAGCCTAGCTTGTTGGATTCTGATTACACAAAACACAAGCAAAATTTAATAATAGTTACGTCATCTCTTGTGAAATAATGTGGAAAAAATAACATTAGAACCAACACGTTCAACTAAGAACACAAATGTAATTCAAACCAGCAATTGCAGAACTTCACCCAATATCCTCTCCAAATGCTAATGCCATTAAGCCTAAGTTTAGGATCTTTTACCTACATTTCATAATTTTCCACCCCGTCCCCAAAAAAAAACAACTAAGTATATTGAATATTCATAACGAAATGACGCATTATTGACAGCAAACATGACGCATTATTGATTCCTCGAATGACGCATTATTGATGCCACAAAAGATGGATTTCCCACCCTCACAAAAAACAAACCAAACACCACAAAATCAATCCAGCAAGAGTGAACTTACCTCTCAAAGTCAATCGGGAGCTTCGAAGTCAGTCAGCTTGAGAGAATGTGGTGGACATTAGAGAAGATTCTTTGGTAGTGGAGACTCCATCTTTACCAAAATTGAGGAACAATTGCTGCTGCGGCGTCTAGCTACAGAAAGAGATATGCTACTTTGCTTTCATCTGGAATCTCGTCTGCTGAACGAAAAAGAGAAGGGGTTTTCACTTGAGCCATAGAATCAAAACATGGCAATAGCTAGGTAAGAGCCATTAATCGTCATACCGAGGATACCATAGATCGCAGGCCTCCCAAGGAGCTGATGACAATGGAGCGACTATAGGTTTGGGAGCTTTGGATCTTTCTTATTGTGGGTTTACATTACATTCAAAAAGAGAGGATTGTGTTCTTGAGTTTTTCACATAGAGGGAAATATCTTCAACTGAAGTTGGGTTTCCAACGGGTCAGATTTCAACCCGGTTCTACATGCACCCTCTTTTAAAAACTCACCGTTGGATGAAATCCAACGACTCTTACATACCCCTCAAAAACACCCCTTATAACTTTCCACTCAGTATAAAAGCCCCCCTGAATTGAAGATGCACATGAGATGATACATGGGCTTGCGTTGGAGCGGAAAAGTCCAAGTGATATGATTTTATTTTAAATTCCTTTTTCAATAAGGACTATGAGTCCAAGTCAAAGGTGGGGAGGTTATTAATTCAATTGGTAGGAGTCGTCAAAGTGGGCTGTGGCTGTGGGCTTTGTTAAGGGGTTGTTAACTCATATACAAAAGAAGCCACCAGACAGAGGCTACGGACTGGGGAGACCTAATTTTTGGAGTTGTAAAAAATAGAAAAAAAGAGAGAAGAAGAGGGCAGCGACACCATTCCATTCTCCTCCATCCTACAAGGTTCCAAGGTTTGAAAGGTTGAGGAAGCAAGGAGGAACATCAAGGCGTAGACCAATCACGCTGGCTAACGAACACACCATCAAAGAGCTACCTTCTTCCCCTTTTTATTTTCTGTTTTGTATGTTCTTGCTGTCTATTTAAATTATGGGTAACTAAGTAATTTAGTTAGGGCTTGATTGAAGCCCTAATCATGTTTCTTTAAGGATTTCGATATGCCTTTGCTATAAACTACTTTTGTGATGCTTAATTGATTAATTTCATATTATGTTTTACTCTTTACAGATGTTATGTTATGCTTGATCACCATATGCATGCTGTGTATTGAGTTTGTTACATAGGTAAATTTAGATGACCGAGTCTTGTGCCTATGAGAGAGTAACAGAAGAATTGGTTATAAGTTCTTGGAATTAATCATCATGAAGAACTAGAATATATACCATGTTCTAGGAGTTGTGTGTTTGTTGATTTCCATTGTGTTATGCGTTCTTAAAGTGCAACTTAGTAGATACCATGCTAAACACTTTAAGAATGAAAAGAGTTAGAGTAGATACCCATGCCTAACTTGTTGCTTAGGGAAATCAATAACTTAAAGAGCAGATATCATGCCTTTAGGTTGACAAACATAAGCATCTAAAATTTGTTTTGTAGCATCGTGCATGTCGGTTGCTTAAGGAAGAAGATTAGCGGTGAACATCAAATCCCTAACTAGTTTTCTCATTGTTTTAACCTCAATCCAATTCTATTTTTAATCAAACGCTGTTTTCAATATTTAGTTTTGAAATTTTCAGTTTTCAATACCATCGTAAAATCATCCTTTTGAACTCCTTGTCTACATCGAGTGCCATTTGTTAGTAGTTCAAGGAGATTAATTTTACGCACAAATTAATCCAATCCTCGTGGGAATGATCTCGTATTTTCTTTCTATACTATTTGTCTGATCTTGTGCACTTGCGAGTTAAAATGTGCGTATAGTTGCTTAATTTTTAGGTTGCTATTTGTACAACAAGTTTTTGGCGCCGTTGCCGGGGATTGTGTAACTAGTTTGTGCTGAAATTGGTTTTTTTGTTTGTTTTTGTTTTCTTTTACAGGTTGAATTATGTTTATGCAAGGTAGACGATCCCAAAATTCAGCTGTCGTTGTCTACAATCCTGAGATTGAACGAACTCTTAGACGTCTTCGTAAGCAAGCTGAGAGGGCAAAACTTAACACACAAAGAGAAGATTTTGAAAAAGGAGAAAGATTAGAATCTGTGAACGAAATGGGGGATGAGCAGGTTCGAAGGCCAATGAAGGACTCCATTGTCCCTCAAAACCTTAATCAACCATCATGCATTGCCTACCAACCAACTGTGCAAGGCAGCTTCAATTTATCACCTCAATTGCTTAACATGGTGCCACACTACAGAGGCACACCTTCTGAGGATCCATACTTGCACATTAGCGATTTCTTTGATCTCTGCAAGACTCAGAACATACAAGGCTTAACAACAGAAGGAATCAGATTAATTCTTTTTCCTTTCTCCTTAAAAGATAATGCTAAGTTGTGGTTGAATTCTCTGGCTGCAGGTTCCATTACTACTTGGGAACAATTGGCCACTAAATTTTTGAAGACGTTTTTCCCAGCCCAAAAGACAAGACAACTTAAAAGGGAGATTCAAACTTGCAACAGAAGGATGGAGATCTTTCCTTTGAGGCATGGGAGCATTTCAAGGAGTTGCTTCTCAAGTGTCCACATCACAATCTATCTCAAGATGATCAGGTACAAGCTTTTTATGAAGGTTTAAATGATACTAACAAAAGTCTTGTTGATTCAGCTTGTGGAGGTGTGCTTATGGAAAAGAGTAGTGATGAAGCCATTGTGCTATTTGAGACCCTAAGTGAAAATTCTCAGCAATTCTCATCAAGAGGGAGACAAAGAGTAAAAAGTAAAGGTGTATATGAAGTTAGCACAAATGGTGGAGTCCAGAGTCAAATGGCAACAATGGAGAAGAAGTTAGATATACTAGTGAAAGCAATGTCAGCTCAAAACATCTCTCAAGTTCAACAAGTTGCTAAAGTCGAGGTATGTGCTATATGTTCTCATTCTAATCATACTACTGAGACTTGTCCTATGTCTTGTTTTACAGATCATGAGCAAGCTAATTATGTGGGGCAAAACAACTATCATCCCAAGAACAACCCATATTCGAACACATATAATCCAGAATGGAAAGACCACCCAAATTTTTCTTGGAGCAACAGTGAAAATGTGCTTAATCCACAAGGGCAGCAAAAGAACTTCCAGCAGGGAAGTAATTATCATACTTCATCACAGGTGGCACAACCAAATACTGACCAAAAGAAGAATAATCTTGAAGGTGCCATACTCCAGTTCTTGACTGCACAGCAACAGACAAATGCTCTAACTAGTCAGAACATACAAAAACTAGAAGCAACAACTAGCCAAGCTATTCAGAGATTGGAGGCACAAGTAGGGCAATTGGCAAAGGAGTTGAGTGAGAGGAAGAAAGGAGAGTTTCCATCACAAACCATACCTAATCCGGGAGGCCAGGAGCAGCTCAAGGCTGTGACAGTCCTTAGAAGTGGCAAGGTAGTTGACAACAAGGTGGGGACAGATGAGAAAGAAAAAGAAAATGTTGAACCACCTCCAGCCACAAAGGTAAGTGAGAAGGAGAAGGTGATATTGCCACCCTTCCCTCAAAGGTTAGTTAAGCAAAAGAAAGAAAAACATCTTCTTGATATTTTTGAAACTTTGAGAAAAGTAGAAATCAACATTCCTGTACTTGATGCAATTAAACAGATTCCATCTTATGCTAAGTTTTTAAAGGATTGTTGTACACACAAAAGACAATTTCAGGAACATGAGAAAGTTGCATTGACTGAGGAGGTAAGTGCGGTTTTATTGAGAAAGTTACCACCTAAACTAAAAGATCCAGGTAGTTTTACAATTCCTTGCAGGGTTGGTGACCGTCTGTTTGAACGTGCTTTGCTTGATTTAGGAACAAGCATCAACTTGATGCCTTATACAGTTTATGAGGAGTTGAGGTTGGGGGAGCTCAAACCAACCTCAATTATATTTCAATTGGCAGATATAAGCATTAGAAGACCTAGAGGTATATTAGAGGATGTTTTGGTTCAAGTAAATGAATTTATTTTGCCTATTGATTTTGTTGTTCTGGATATGGAAGATTCCCCTATGCCATCTTCATTACCTATTATTCTTGGTAGGCCCTTTATGATAACTGCTGATACAAAGATAAGTGTGAAAAAGGGTACTATACGCATGAAAATTAATGGTAAGAAGATAGAATTCATGTTGTCTGACACTATCAAATTGCCACATGATAACCATGATTGTTTCAAGATTGATGTGGTAGGAAGTGTTGTGGAGCAAGTGTTTCAGGTACATAGCATTGACCCCTTGGAGGCATGCATAGCCCACAGCCTCACAAGGCTGAATTATGAATATGGATGTGATGTTACAGAGATAGACCTCCATGAAGCTGTGCATTCTCTTGAGGCTTCTAAGCCTTATCCAAGTAAGTATGTACCTCCCTTTGAAACCCTTGTGTCTACTAATACTACTGTTATCCCTTCCATTGTTAGGGTACCAGATCTGGAATTGAAGCAACTACCTGAACAACTATAGTATGCTTACTTGGGAGAGAACCAGACATTACCAGTAATAGTTGCTGCAAACTTGAGTTTGGTGGAGCAAGAGAAGTTGTTGAGAGTTCTTAGGGAGCACAAGACTGCATTAGGGTGGACCATTGCCGACATCAAAGGCATAAGTCCATCCAAGTGCATGCACAGAATCCTCCTGGAAAATAATGCAAAGCCTAACAGGGATGCTTAGAGATGACTTAACCCACACATGAAGGAAGTAGTGAGAGCAGAGGTTCTTAAGCTCTTGGATGTTGGCATCATCTACGCCACCTCAGATAGCAAATGGGTGAGTCCAATTCATGTTGTGCCTAAGAAGAGTGGAATCACAGTGATGAAAAATGAAGAGAATGAGCTTGTTCCTACCAGGCTCACCACAGGTTGGAGAGTCTGCATTGATTACAGAAAGCTCAACAATGAAACCAGGAAAGATCATTTTCCTCTTCCTTTTATTGATCAAATGTTATAAAGGTTAGCAGGTCATAGTCATTATTGTTTTCTAGATGGTTATAGTGGTTATAATCAGATTGCTATAGCACCAGAGGACCAGGAGAAGACCACATTCACATGCCCTTATGGCACATTTGCATACAGAAGGATGCCATTCGGATTGTGTAATGCACCTGCCACATTCCAGAGGTGCATGATGAGCGTATTTTCAGACATGGTGGAGAGGAAGATGCCCTATTTATAGCCGCTAGAAGCCATCTTTTTCCAAGAAACCCTAATGGCTTCCATCCTATTTTGCCAAGTCTTTCCCTTCCCTTCTCCCCTCATCCCTTCAATCATCCTATTTTGGTGAAATCTACTCTGCTCCTTTGCAAAAAATCTGGGATTTTCGGAGCTAAAGGTCCCTTTCCCGCAGCTGCCCTAATGAAGAATTCCTATTTTCATATATCTCCCTTCTTCTCTTTCCTTCCCTCTTTAATGGTCAGATCTGAAGAAGGAAAGAAATAGGTATACATGCTGGTTCGAAGGGTGGCTCCTTGCGCGCCAATATCTTTTGGTCCCTTGGATGTTTTGCTTGAAAACTTGTTCCTTCCTTCCCAGCAGCTCACGTGGTCTTCCAAGCTCCTCCATGGCTTTGTCTTTCAGCCAAATGCTGAAACCTTTGCTGCTTCTTACTTCTAATTGTATGGGCTTTCTAAGATGGCAAGTCAACCTACCAAACAAATGGGCTAATCTCCTCAAGTTTTGGGCTACATTGGTTAATTTTAGTGGACCATTTTGGTTGGGATATTTTCTCTTTTGTGCTTACCCACATTTTTTGGGCCTAAGAAATGGGCCTGAGTTCCGAGGCTCCCAAGTGACCCAGAACCTCTATTTCTTGGTCCATCAATGGGTCTCATGACAACACATTACCATCCATACCACAACCCACTCAAGCAAGCCTCGGGTATTTGATTGGCTTGGGCCCACTTAGGCTTGTAGCGTGGTTGGGTGTGACATAATAATTTCCCATTCGGCATGGCATGTTGCTTGGCATGTTTTTTAATTATGATGCTTGACGGGATAATTACCATGGATTTGTAGATTTATAATCTTAATCTCGATTCCTAGCACGATGGATTATTTATTTGGCATGGCATGTGAAGTGTGATTCGTGCATGGCGGATCTTTGCGTGCTCCAAATTAGGCCTTTCCTGAATAATGCGTCATTTTGGGCCAAGAATTTATTTGGGCCCAACCGGGAATTTTTTGGGTCTCAACAGCCCTAAAAGCCAATCATATGATGTAATCTTTAAGGTCATGTATTAGACTTATGTTCAATCCTCTTGAAGGGCAAGTTTATTGTTTATTAGTAAATGTCTCATTAACAGTTACACATGCTTAAACAATAAGTCCAAGGGATGTGAGATAGAGAGAAAGTAATCTAAGGAAGTTAGATTCAGAAGACCTTTCCTCTATTATCCTCATACCCTAAATGTTCATAGTCATAGGATTGTCAAACGGGCACTAACAAACCGGAAAGACCGGTACATGCTATGTCTTCTTGATTGGGAGGATGACTTGTCTCAAGTCATTCATGTAGAGACACTAAGAAAAGTATGCAGTGCTCAATAGAGAATAAGTTCACTGAACGTGATCAGACGAGAGTTTCTTGTATGGAAATTTTACTTATATGTCAAATAAGAAACTCCAAGTTACAATAATTCAAATTAGTCCTTGGACCTGAGGTACCATGGTTGTCTTGTGGGAAGGTTGTAGATCTTTGATAATGATATAAGGACATGTCCTAATTACAGACGTGGCACAAGCATTGTTTGGGTTCTCAATTGACTCACGGAGACATGTGAGTGAACAACATGGAATCTCTATCCTTCAATAAAGAAGGAGAATGCTCGGAAGATATGATTAAGCAAATCTTTGATCAGAGTATTTGGTATGACCCAGAAGGATGTTCTTGTCATACTAATACAAATCATATAAGACGTGACAATCTCAATAGGGATTTGACATGCACCATGCCCTAGTAATGAGATTAAGAGCATTGTAATAAGGAAGGACCGTTGCATTGTAATTCCAACTGAATAGGTTCTCTGCTTATTCTACTTAGCTTGGATATCTATAACATACTGCTAGGTGTCACTTATGGAGGGTGGAAGCCCTAAGGACTAATGATCCTAACTAATATGGAGAATTAAAAAGGGGTTTTAATTCACAATCAATTACGAAGAGTTCAAATTGCCCACGGTCTTGCTAATTAGAACCTAATTGATTGCACACCGTTAAACTTGAGTTATTTGAGAAACCTTATGGAAATGATGAATTGAAGAGATCAATTAAGCTTAGTTAATTGGTTAAGGTAAAATTAATTATGAAATTAATTTAAACGACATGTGATGTCGGAATATGCTTTAAACGGGAATTTTGAAATTTAGGCTCATTGGGCTTTATCCTTGTTTGTGCCTAATAAATCACGGTCATAAACTGATTGAAGGGACTTCCTCTCGGTCCTGGCACCTACAGTTTCGTTAGGCATTTCGCCTTCCTAAAAACAAAAGAAGAGCTGCAAAGGCAGAATCCTCTCGGTCTCGCAACCGGAGTATTGTAGGCCGAAGCCGAAGGCCGTAAAAGACACGGCCGAAGATACTGTGGTAAAATCGCCACGTGGCCTCAGGGTCCCATGCCCCATTTAATGAAGTAATGCCTCTGACTATCGCAGCAAACCCACTAGTCGCAAGAAGCATTTAATGCACAAGGGAAGAAGGGAAGTGACTGAAGTCAGGATTTGGTGATGGAGATCAGAGTGGTTAGGCGCAGACATTCTCACAAGTAATCTTACAACTTGAGGTCAGATCACCAACCACCAGACCAAGGCATTAAATGCGTTCCCAAGGCCAAGGGGGCAGAACCCACGATCAGGGCGGTGACCGAGATTTATGGGGATCACACCACCATGCTTCACGATCCCAAATGCCGATTTGACTACCCACTTGCCCCGATCAGGCTCCACCAAGCAGGTCTTTTCAGCCTCGATTGTTCGTCCATGACTCCTCCTATAAATACGAAGCTCAAGACTACATTCAAAGGGTTCAAACACCAAACCAAAAGCCTCCCACGGAGCAAATTATATTTTCCTGTAATGCACTTTCAATACCTTTATTTGCTTTCCTAGGAGTAGTGGTAGATTGTAAGGAAAATCCATTCATCAATATATCATACGACCCTTGATTTTCAAGGCGCCGGAGCACCATCTCTGTTGTCATCTCACTCACCCCATATATCATACGACTGTCGCTCTCTGAAGCAACGCGCCGGAGCACCGCCTAAAACCCGCCACCAACACCACCACTAAACGGCCTTGTAGCTCAGGCCGTGAACCTGACGGTCGAGATCAATTCCTCTCTCGGCCACAATCGTTTGATTAGGAGTCAAACTCAAAACAGGCGCATCATTTAACCATCTTCTACCCAAACCTCATCACCATCTCGACGCACGGCAGACCGTGATGGCACGTCCGCGCACAACCGCACCACATCCAAAAGAAGGACGTCACGTGTTAACGCACTTCCCCTCGGCCCGAAGCACCAGGTCGTAAGATTTGCGCAGCCAACAATCCTATTGGACATGGAGATTGGGTTGTATGACAACTTAAATGAAATTGAGCCCAAAAGGCCCAATTTCAAGAGATGGGCATTCATATGGGCTTTTGGTTGCTAGAGTCAACTTGTTGACTCAAGTAAAAGATGACTATCATCTTTTTGAAGCCTAAGGGGTCATTAGTGAAAATCAAGAGAGAGAAAGAAAGCTCTAGTCTTCCAAAAACTCTCTACAATTTCATACTATCTTAGTGAGGGATTACTAGCATCATCCTCTCACTAAGTTCATCATCTTCTTCTCAAGCTCTAGTTGGTGAAGAGACTTAGAGGTTACCTATTTTGGTGACTTTTGGAGAATCTCTCAAGTTGGAGTTTTTGAAGGAGTCATTCACTACTACAAAAAGTGAAAAAGAGGACCAGAAAACAACGACGATAGATCAAAAAACAATCGTTATGTTTGAAAACACGACGGTGATATAAAACTGCTGTGTATGAGTAACTTAAACAACTAAAAATGGAGATTCCAATGGATGTTTTTAAAAAATGACGCATCAAATTAAAAAAGCGTCGTCTTATTGAAAAGGTTTTCTTCATAGTTAAACTCTGAGCCCAAAAACAACGGCAGAAGCTATGAAACCACCGACATAGAAAGTAAAGACAATGGTGTGCAAAAACATCCGCCGTTTTTACTCCTTAACAAACACGACCATATTTTCGTAGTCGGTGCCGTATAATTTCAAAAGAATCCACGTCGATATATTACAAAATACCGCCATATTAAATCAATGTACAACGACAGCAAAGATAAATTTATCAACTTATTATTTTGTAGTGTACTACAACGGTATCTATAACACTACTCTCCGCATAAGTTTGTAGTAACCACGTCGGTTTGTTCAATTAACGACGTATAATAACACTTTACCAAGTCGTGAAGTTAAAAGTACCATCGTATTTATTCACTGCATATGTCTGTCCTTATCTGTAAACCGTCGTCTTAATTTTTATTGCTTTTTAAGATTTATTCCTTGGATTTTTGTAGCCTACGACAGTAGATCAACATAATGACAAGAATTGGGAAAAACCATGATGGTTTATATAGAAAACCGTCGTCACAAGCAAATTAAAATGAGAGACAACTGACATGTAATACTCTTTAAATGTCTATTGGTTTGTGTGTGCGTCGTCTTTTATTTTTTAGACGTCGGGGTCTTTGTTTGTTTAATGTAGTATAAGTTAACCACGACGGTTTCTAGGTTATCCAAGTCTTTTTTCCTTCAAGTAGGGACATGGATAATTATTTGTACATCAGTTCTTCTTTTGATCTTGACATGTAACAGTCTTTAGACGTCTCAGTTTTCATAAAACCGTCATCTAATGTTGTCGAAGATTTCATTTTAGGCTAAATATTAGTAATTACACATCGGTTCGTAATAGTTTTGGACGTTGAATGTGTTAACGACGTCGGTTAATAGCCGTCGTTGTTTTATGTACAAAAGATGGCGGTCAAGTTCACGATGGTTTGAAAACCTTCTAGACGACGGTGGTTTCCCGTCGTATATTTCGATTTTTGTAGTAGTGATTCAAGCTTCAACAACTTTGGTGGAATTCATAGGGTTGAAAGCATGCACCAAGGGTAACTCCTCCTTCC